ATGTATACCGTCTTGTTTGTCGCGATCAGGCGGTGTGGGCATTGCATAGCAAGAGGTTTGACAATTCCTACTTATCAGTTTCGCCGACCTTTGGCTGATCTTGCGGCAACTAAGCATGTCACAAGATTTTCAAAGGCATGAAACCATGCTTTGTGGCCATCGCTCACCGCACGGAGAGGCTCACTTGGAAACTTCCTGATAACGGATACTCTTGTTACGAAGTGCGGATAGTGGGATATCGTGTGCGCAGTTCAGCTACTTTCTTTCTCTACGCTGTACATTCTGGCGCTGCTGTCGCAGAAGGAAGTTCGACTGCATATAGCGGTCACTTTGTTCAGACAGCCTCCACAACGGTAGAAGCTTGAAAGACGTGGCGCAATGTTGTGAGCGAGGCGAAAAAAAGGAACTGAAAGAGTGTCGGCTCACAATTTGTTAAGGCGAAGTTGTTAGGGTCGAGGTCCGTTGCGTATCTTGGATATAGAAAAGGACCATCACAAGACGGCACACCCTGAATGACGGCCCCAAGCGTTCTGTACAAACGGTTAACTAGAGAAGCTGCCACTTGCGTTCCCTAGTTGGTGTTCGCAGCAAATTGTCGCATAGTATGGGGAAGGATCAGAAAGCGACAGGGAATAGGGTAAAAAAAAATTACCCCTTCTCCCGCTAAAGGGAAATCGTGTAGATGCGAAGCAGCGGACGCTAACGCTTAGGTTGCTGGTGGCTTGATGCTGGCGCTCATCGCGGCGTTGCGCAGGACAGAAACCTGGGGAGCTGCAGAGCGCACAGTGATGGACCGGTGTTTTCCGTCAGGAACATGCTAATCGCTACTAATGGCCAATGAGAGACAGAAGACCCCTATTGGACACAGAGACCCGCAGTTTGCTTTTAGTTAACGCACAAGCTGTGAATTTTTATTGTTCTACAACACAAAGGAGAAATACCCCGCCGGTGTTATTTTGGAGGTCAAGATCAAGTGCCTATATATACGAGGTGGCCAGTGAACGGTTGTGTAATGCGAGTAGTTTTTTTTATTTGTTTTTCAATCAAGAAACCCGCTAGCTGACGCTGCCTGCGTCGGCGTTGCGAGCGGAGAGAGGATAGCCTAGGAGAGGAGAGGCAGATAGTGGGAGGGGCATGCACGTTGCTGGTGTAAACACCGCGTGGAGGGATGGCTAGAGGAGAGAGAGATGGGAAGTGAGCGTAGGCTAGCACATATTTAGCGAACTCTATGGGCTAGCAGACGCTGCCCGCGTCGGCTTTGCGAGGCGAGATAAGGGAAAGAGAAGCGCATGCGCTGTGAAGCGCGGACGCCACTTAATCAACCTAGCTCATCAGATGCTTCGAGTCTAAAAAATACAACTCAGACATGTTCAGGACGAGCTAGGTGCACACCAGCTCTGCTGTGGCGCAGCTTAGCGCGAGTAGTGCAAGCTGTGCTCTTTTTTTTTTCTTGTACCCAGGTCATAAAGACAGTGAGTATATGCGCAGTACGAAAGCACAGATTAAACAGAAGAACGCATGAATTGCATTTCACAGCCGGGCTATGTTCAGATAGCCAAATCGATTCTCTAATATGAAAGGACTGAAAACGAGGGCAGGGCTAGATACCGAGACCATGTGCGTAATACCAAGAAACATATTAAAAGGCAGTTGACGACGACACCAACTGAGAGCCATCTAACAGTTTAAACTTGTTATTCTGTGGCATTGATTTGATTGATATGTGGGGTTTAACGTCCCAAAACCACCATATGATTATGAGAGACGCCGTAGTGGAGGGCTCCGGAAATTTTGACCACCTGGGGTTCTTTAACGTGCACCCAAATCTGAGCACACGGGCCTACAACATTTCCGCCTCCATCGATTCTGTGGCATTACTGATGGCTCTCTTCTCGTTCGCAATCTTGCGGCGCCTGTTTCAACCTGCAACTATAGTCTAATGTTTGTTCTGTTAAGGTCCACAAAGGTGCACATATCAGGAAAGCTCGGACCGAACGAAGGTCGTAGGGTCACGGGCGTCTCTTCGCTTGGAGATATAACCTCTCACCTTCCGTTTATCACCTTTTCCGGGCGCCACACCAGCGCGCTCCATCGGCGACAGTTACCACTACCTGTCTCGCTTTGTCGACCTGGATCGGTGGCCGTTCGGAATTGGGCCATGCGCTATTCATCTCGGAAGAAAGGCGCCTTTATTATTCGGCCGCCCTTGTTTGATCGCGCTGTTTGCACGAGCGTTCCCTGCGACGAGATGGAACGAGGCAGTCTCCTGCGAATCACCATTGTTGCTTGGAGTACGGGCGTCGGCTGCTCTTGTAGCTATCTCGACACGAGCTCGGAAAGCAGGGCATACGCGCTGCTAGTGCCGCAAATGTACGTGCGGATTTCGGTGCACACTTCAGTAACGTTTTAAAAATCGCACGAATGGGAAGAAACTTGCGATAAGAAAAAAAAAGAGAAACATCCGTAAACAGGGGTTGCCTAGTCTCTACCACGCAATCCCTGTTAACGAATTTTTTCATCACTTAGTAAAGTCGCCATTTCCAAGGAGCTAAGCTCCGCCGCGTTCCGAAACACCTGAATGAATCTTAAAGAAAAGAAAGAAAAGTGGGGAGATGGGCGTTTCAGTTCCGCTAACGTGCATCCTGGGGTGAAGCGTGCAGTGTTTGGAGAGATTTCTTTTTGGGGACACTAGTGGGGTAAAACCTTAAACCGGGCATGTAAGGATGCGTGTTCCCGCTCCACCAACATCGTCGGAAAACTGCGTCAGAATGTATTTTCTATTCGGGGAAGGATTGATGTGGGAGAGTTGGTGTAGCGGGTAAAACGTCACGCAGAAAAAATTTACAAGACACAAGGAACACACATGAGTCGGTTGTAAATGTTCCTTCTTTTCTCGTATTTTTTGTGTTACGTTTCACCTTCTAGCATGTGGGGAGTGCTGTTTGAGCCTCACTAACGTCGTCGCCTATTTGTCAGGCTAACTGCCGTATTCTTTTTTTTTTTTTAATTTTTTGTGCCCTGGTGGCCGGTAGGGCGATTTAGCCATTTTTTGTGGCGCTACCCATATTCATGATGAACCACGAGTACATGACACACAGTGACGACATTACACGCCGAAAAGCCCAGAAGCTCAGGTGCTTTGCACCTGTATATTTACTGTTCGTAATGTGTATAGGGGATATTGGGGCCTTTATATGTGCCGGCTAGTCCTATTCCCACGCCAACGGAAATTAAAAAGCACAAATAAAAAGAGTCGGAAGTTATCGCTAATTGTAAGTTTCAGTCAAATATAAAAAGAACGTTCACTAACTACCGCGCACGAATAAATAACTACACTCATAGAACTTCGACATGTTCTGCGAACAGGTTAAAATGCGCATAATACTTGAGTGAGCAGCACAGCAAGCGTGACCAGTGCGTGAGGCTGGGGTACGCACGCGTGCAATCTGCCTATATGAGCACTCGAAGCGACAGTGACTTCAGTATCCATGGAATCGCGTTGTACGCACTCGATTGTGGAAGAAGCCTTTTTACGTTTTCGTCGTCTTAAGCACAAGGGCATCGTGAATTATGCGACACATCGGAATACGGCACTAAGGTTGGCGTGCCTATATGCTGTGCAGTGCAGAAGGACTGAAAGCTGGGCCAGTTGTGCTGTGCTTTGCCGCTTAAATTACGCATTGTCGGTGGTGAAATGGACGACGCCTCAGGTCTACTTCGTGTTTGTGAACAGCGGTACGCCGTCGACATACTTACTAAGGGGCTTGTAGCGACGTCTCGGCATGGGCTCCGCCCAGCTTAAAGCTCGCTACCGCCCTCTGTGATCACGTGGCAACAGGCTCAGCAGCTGTAAGGCTGCCTCCAAGCTCAACGTGTCGGGGAGCTTCCCTTGATCACTTTTAGTTCAAAACGCGCTGATCGCTGTCTAAAGCAAACATCACTTTTAAAAGCACTGATCTTTTGAAAGGTGCTTGAATCTACAATGATTCCCTCAAAGAACTGATCAGTTCTGAAATCACTGATCAATTTCACTAACGATCACAGGCATTGACACTTTCGTTTAGGGAAAGTGCATCCACGGTGATTGGCGGACGCTTGGGCGCGATTGGTCACTGTTTGGTTTTCGAGTGTTTAGTTCGCTCTCGCGTGATTGATTGTCCAAAATCTGCGGATTTTCCCGACGATGTCGGACAACTGGCTTCTGGCGAAGTGCGAGATCTGAAGCGGGACATTCGAATGCTATAGCGTCCACTGAAGACGCGGACACAGCGACAAAACGAGGAGGAGTGCAGACATAACCTGGGTTCGAACACGTGAGCTCAGTGTGTTGGGTGCGAAACGCAAACGTTCGGTCGACACCACCTAGGCTGCTTTAACCCAAGTCTAGGTTTCGTTTGGGCAGTTCCCCGTGACATTCTTTGCGCTCTTCGATGAGTTAGGGCTGTTCCACAAGTACGCGTTTCGTCGATGCGCCGGCAGTCCGTCCCGCCGATAACCGCGTGTCCTACGACAGGTCCTCCATCTGTTCCAGAGCTGCTGCTTTTCTTTCTGTCAGGTCCTTGCGGCCGCGCGCGCATGTCCGGTCTCCCGATTGTGGTCATCGTTCTTGGTCCTCCGCTTCTCCTTGGTCGTTCGACTGTGTAGAACCTGACCAAGGGGCACATCGCGGATGCACGCCGTCCCAAAAGCATACACCGAAGAGGCGTCCGACCTTGCCTGCACCACCGTGCTACTCGCGCCAGAAGTTCGGTGCAGCGCCGGGGAAGCACTCCTCGATTGGTACGTGCTTCGCGGTAAGCTCGTGCCATAACTTTCTGGCCTCCGAAAGCCGTTCGAAGCGGCGGCTTCTCTCGGCGCGCATAATCCCGACGAAGACACCGCCGTCGCAGGTACGCGGTGCAATGAAAACAAGCCCCGCAAGACGGATGGTAATAACAATAATAGGCGGAACCGGTTCGTTGGCCTCCTCGCGTGTATGCGGCGAAATATCGGGAAGAAGCATGGCGGAGAACGGAGGAGAAAACCGGCTGCGCCTGCAGAGGAGGTCGGCGACGTCCTCGGACGTCGCTTTCCGCGAGAACACTCCCTCGTCCGCAAATCGGTGCGCGAACGCTGAGAAAATACGCCAACAAACTTGGTCACTTTTCGCTGGCAAACTTCGTGAGCATTCTGTGTGTGTTCTTGCCCTCTTGTCGCGCAGTTTTTGTAGTCATGGACTCGCCCAGCGTTCAGTCCTCTCCGTGCTTAACACCGCCTCTCGGTGCACCGGGCCACTTTTCTAGCTCGCGTAAAGTTTCCATTGCGAAAGAGCGCTCTCAATAATTTGACTCCAAACAAGGTTAATTTTAGTGGCGATTGCCCTGCATATTTTTATTTATTTATTTATCAAATACGATCAGCAACTTCATAGGTATTTGGGTTCATATCATATAGTACTGATACAAGGTGGTGTTTATGTGGATTGAACATTGCAACATAATCGTAAATATACCAGTACATCACAAAATGTTCATACTCATACAGCATTGCGGAGCGCCTGCACGAACTCTGCATTTCAACTTATCTTCACAATTTCGTCGGATAGCCGATTCCAGGCTGTAATTGTATTGGGGAAAAATCTGGTTATAACCGGCACTTGTACAGAATATTTCTTTCATCATTTGATAGTGACGATAATATCAATAACAATGATATCCGAAGGTATAACGTCCTAAAACCGTGATATGATTATGCTTGACGCCGTAGCGGAGGCATCCGGAAATTTCGTCCACCTGGTCTTCTTTACCGTCCATTTACGTCGCACAGTGCACAAACGTTTACTATTTCGCCTCCACCAGAACGCGACCGGCGCTGCCGAGATCTAATACGCGACCTGCGGGTACGCAGCCGAGAACCGCGATACCATGGTGGCGGGCTGAATAGCCTACGTTGGGTAGGTAACGATTGACGAGTAAATATGGTATACCTACGTATATAGGCTTAATCATTGCAGTGTTAGCAAACATTTCATGTAACAATAGTCGGTAGTAACTGGCTCACCGGCGAATCAGTCAACTTCAGTCATTGCAAACGAGTGTGGCTACTCTGCAAGTCAATACGGTAGTCGACCTCACCGCACCCAGTGAGACGTTCTCTCAAACGTGCACATCCTTCTTCTGCATCGTCCCGTATTTTCCCGAAGACGTCGTATATGGTGCCGATGAAAAAAAGGAAGGCGTGGTGTTCCGGAGAACTTTGCGTGTGCACTCGCGCGCTCAAGTCTACGCGCGTATGCCATGACTGGTGCACGGCATAGCCTGGCACTTTTTGCATATGCGGGCGGGCTCGTCTCCTCGCATAGCTGCAGGCGGCGTTTTCCATCGGCCGGTCGGGAAATTGCCTCACGTTTCCGCGGCCGGTGTGCATGCGGGCGGCGGCGCCTGTTCGCGACCGACTCGCGCGGTTTCGGCTGGCTTGGCTCGACGTGCAAGCGGCCGATTCCGTGAAACGACTATCGCTCGTCCATTTTCAGTTTTGCTGCTTCTGTATCAGCTGTTCTATAAATGATCAGAAATTTGTACATTTTCGCAAGTGTAGCGCGCGTACGAAGCTGTGTGCACGTCTGTAATTCCAAACGCAGCCAAGGTGGACATCGACTATAGCTAGCGGCGCCACTTCGCTTTTCTTATGCCTGCCTCTATAGGGGTCATTCGGTGGATATTCAGCAAAATATCGGTGTTGTGAAATGTAGTCCTTCACTGCTTACGGAACTGACCGCAGTGGAAATGTAAAATGACACTTGCTTCATTGTGATCGAAAGAAAAATGGCGTGTGCACAATATTGGTTGGCGGAAGCGACAGTGGTATATGAACGACATGTTTTTGAAAATGGACTGAGCTGCATAATGCTCAGCGCATCACCTGTACATATAGTCTCCCTCCATTTTTCGGAAAGACTGTTGGAGATAATGCCACGACGAACTCAGTTATGCGGGCTGTGACCCTACGACAAAGGGGTTTTTTCGTCCTATATAATTACCGCTTATGTGATGTCTCTTATGCTCTTATCGTTGGGTTGTGTCCAATGATAAAAACGAACCCTTGGAAACCTCACTTTCGTTATTTAGCGGGCTTGAGCTTGAGAACTATATTCGATATGTTAAAATGGATATTATTAGTGCTAGATGACACATAGAAGTCGCGTACGACGCCGACAGTGCTGTCGCATAGTTCGGGCTTCTTCCGCTCGATGCCGTGTTCTTTTCCGCATGTCAACACGACACGCCAAGCATATTCCGCATGAGCAGCGCGTGTGCACTTACGCGGAACGAATTCTCCCCTCGATCTCGCCAGCAAGGGGTAATCCGCCCGAGGCCTCGTCGGAATCGCCTTCGCTCGTAAACGCAGGGCTGCGTGAATTCGCACCCTCCTCGCTCACATTTTCGCATATGGTTCCACTGTGCCAAGATACAGTGGGTATGTTTTGGCCCGAAAAGTTTTTGTTCGCTTTAAATACCGCGTGACTGTTCGTACCCTTCTATCGTTTGCTCGCGTTCGAGTATCGGCAGCGTTTATTCCGCCTCCGCCCCACTGCGGGCGAATCTTCTTCCGGACAGTTACGAAGCGAGCGAATCACATTAGTCGCTGCTGTAAGTTTACTAGGAAGAGGAGGAGAAGCAGGCAGGTCGAGAGAGAAGCAAAGAGGAAAGACAGGCAAGTTTGCCAGGCATGTGTACCGTTGCCTATACCCAACACGTGGTAAGGAGGAAGGGTGTAGTGGATAAGTTAAAAAAAAAACGGGAGAAATAGATAAGACAAAGAACGGTGTAGCAGAAATAACAGATGAACACTTGGCCTCACAGAACGTGAACACGCGCTAGTAGTTCACAAGTGTTCATATTTTGTCGAGTTCGAGAAACATAATGGGGCCTTTTTATTGTTGTTTTTTTTTTGCGTTGTGCATGTACGCATACAAAATTCGAGGATCTTCAGTCGTGTCCTCACAAGCCTCACGCCGCAGCGTTGGCCGTTACAGTAAGAGAGGTGGCACCTCGCATAGCGAAGGCAGAATCGGCCTGTAAATACATTTTTAGTTGACCAGGCGCCCTAAACAGAAAGCTTTGTACTTGAAGCACAGTTGTGCATGAGCATGATAAGCTGCGCCGTTTGGTGTGTGTCCGTTGTGGGCGAGGAAATGGACACATAAAGAAGGTGAATGTATACGTGTAACTATTTGGGAAGAAGCAAGCCAGTGCTACTCAAAGGTCGCACGCAACACCAACGGTGCATATATATATAAATTCACGTAGCGAACCCGCGACCGACTTCTGCTCGACCGCCCCGAAAATATGTTCAATGATGCGGCCTCACTTCTTCCTATGTTCGTTAATAAACGCAGACAAGAAAGGTTCTTTATATCTGGGCAATCGTGACGAGTTAGCGATATTGTCGTTAGCATAGAGTGCCTTATGGCTAAGACACTCGGGGATTATCACGCAAAGGCCTACAACGATTAAAAAAAGCGGAACAAAGTAAAATATTAATTGCACAGTAATGAACGTTCATAATTTTGTCTGTCAAGTACAGAGTGCATTCTGGACCAGGACATATTTCGTACCAGTGTGCGAAGCGTTTTATCTGAGGAACGCGTACATTCCTTCTTCTGCTGTTGGATGGAGCGGTGGTTCTGCTTTGGACGTTTACGGCATCTCGAAACGCGCATTCTTCTTCCGTAGCTGCTGTGGGTCCGCAGCTTCGGTCCAGATTGAAGGCTGCCTGCAGTAGCACAACAAGCGCTGCCCGGCGGCCTGTCCCTCTAGGCCTATCATTACGCTTGTCCACGGCAAGAAAGCGCCGACTCTCTCCTCCGGTCTTCGCCGAAACTGCGGCGGACGGCGCCCGCAGGTGGACAGCATTGCCTCTACGGTTCGCTCCGCATACTTTGGTCGGTTGCTTATTCTTCCTTCTCTTGGGTTCTGCTTCCAATCTCTCCCCAGGCGACTGACAAAAGACCGGTGTCCTTCGGCTACTGCGGTCGCCCCGGGAAAAAAAAAAGAAAACACTTTTGACGGTTTCGGACTTTCTTTTCTCTCAAAGACGTCGTAGGCGTTCCTCGCGACCTCGGCGACTGTGGTTATTGAGAAAAAAAAAAAAAAAAACGCCGGTTTGCGTCAGACATTCAAAGAAGCGTGCCGCCGCTGCAGAATTGCACCACGTGTTCCAGACTAGAGTGCTCGTCGCGCTCATTTGCCTGTCCGTTGGTCGAAGGCGCGAGTCTCTCATTTCCACAGAAAAAAAAAAAAAAGGAGCCGAGCGCGCAACCAAGCGTGGCGTCATGTCTCGGGAAGTGACGAAACACCTTTGGCGCCGAACATGCGACAAAGACGAAAAAAAAAGAGAAAACATTTAACTGGGAAATTGGCCAATGTTTCGACACGACGACATTGACGAAGACAAGTCCACGAAGAGAAAGAAAGAGTGCTCCCTCTTGCTCTGGGCTTGTGTTAGGATTTTGGCTTCTCTTTTGACGGGTGTCGGTCGCGCTTTAATTCTTTTAGCCGACATTCATTGGTCGTGTTCAGCTCTGGCGCTAAAGTGAGCGGGCCATCGTCCACCAGCTCAGAACTAACTCAGACCAGTCGATATCACAGACAACGCCACAGCATGTTTATGAGGCTTAGAGCGACACAAAGTGGCGCTATTTGGTACAAAGTAAGGACTCCGAAAAACAAAACGCAGGCACCTGCTTTTGTTGCCATGTTCTCTCGTTTCTATGTACTTACGCCCTCCTCTTCTTTCGCAATTGCGAGCCACACCCTATATATTTGTGTAATGCAAGTTTCAGTTCACGACTCTTCTTTATTTAGTTTTGCTCCAATGTCAGTGCAGTCAAGTTCACCTACAGCGAACCAAACCTGCGACGTCCTGCTCGAAATACGAGCACGTTAAACTTAAACAGGTACTTGGCGAAGCATAGACAAGCGCTACACAACGCCATAGCCATCACAACGGTCTCTTTCAATGCTCGTCCAGTTTACAGTAAATGTTTTGCCGTGCTTGCGTTGCCGCATGCTGAATCGCTGCCTCAGCGAACCTCTATTTTTAGTTTCTCAGCGCACTCGC